CCCCAAACCCTGAAGCCTAAACCCCCTAAACCTTGAACCCAAAGCCCCAAACCCTGAACCCTGCACTCCCTAAACCTTAAACTGTAAGCCCCAAACCCTGCAGCCTAAACTCCCTAAACCTTGAACCCAAAGCCCCAAACCCTGAACCTAAACTCCCTAAACCTTGAACCCAAAGCCCCAAACCCTGAAGCCTAAACTCCCTAAACCTTGAACCCAAAGCCCCAAACCCTGAACCCTAAACTCCCCAAACGTTAAACCCTTTAGGCTTATGAGATAACGAGCCGAAACAAAAAGCCAGAACTTCTAGGCCAGCGTTTGGTTCTTTACCGTACAGGCTCAGAGCTTAGGGTTTAGGGCTCAGGGGTTTAAGGGTTTAGGGTTTAGGGGTTTAGGGGTTTAGGGGCTTAGGGTTTAGGGTTTATGGTTTAGGAATTGTGTAGACAATAAACATGAACCATCTATTTCCCAAGCCCTCAACGCTAAGAGCACTAAAGTCAGAACCCCCAGGAAAGAGGGCTAGCGCTCGCCTGTACTCGGGCCGGTCGCATCTTGGGGTTTGGTGATTTAGGGTTTAGGGTCTATAGTGTTTAGTCTGGGAATATGCCTAGGTTTCAAGCCGTGAGCACTTTTCTCAGTGGCCTTCCTGCTTAGTTTCGGGTTTAGGGTTTAGGGGTTTAGGGGTTTAGGGTTTAGGGTTAATTGGGGAAACCGTATAAACTGGAAAACCATACATCAGCCTCAGCAACCCTTGCAAACCCTATATACCACCCTATGAACCGCTTTTGACGAACTCTCACAATACACCATAAGACCCCTATGGCCACCAGCCTACTGGGGTTGCCTCCAAGAGCACAGACAGACCACCGCACACAAGGTCCGCCTTCAACGCCCCGGATCTCTTCAAGTCGGGCACTATGACTGGCCACCACGATTGTCCCGGCGGGCAGTCCGGATCGGACACATCGGCCATGTGCTCCTCAGTCTCCCTGAGCATCGCCCAGTAGTGACAGTAGTGCATCTCCGACTCACCTTTGCAGGCCTCGCAACCCCTCTTCGGGTCTTAAGAAACTATTGCAACCTGGTAGGCCGATGTAAGAATCTCATAGTCACCATTGCCCGAGATGCCCTCGCGAAACCTGAAACCAAGGTATTCGTGAATAAGATCCTCTTTAGCCAAAATAAGCGACCATGTAAAATGTCCCACAGGCTACCTAATATAGGGGTCGTAATAATTAGAATAGGGTTTTGGGGCCCATTATACTATAATTCTAATCAGGAACCCCTCAACAGAGTATAGGTAATTAAGGCGCCTATAGTAGCTGTAGCAACTCGCAGGCACAGACTCATCCTCTCCTTTTTGCAAATTATCCGGGGCTGCAAATGAGAGGTTTGGGGGTTTGTAGAGACTCCCAAACCCCTTAATTAAGGAATATACCCGAAATCGTATTAGGGATCCTATTTTCATGCAAGTATTTTCCTGAATTAAGGGGTTTTGGAGTCTCTAGGTTTAGGATAGCTTCAGCGCTTCCTGGCTAGAGTGTTCGGGTGTTACGGTTTAGAGTTCAAGGGCTTAGGGTTGACAGTTGAGTAAACCCTAAACCCAAAGCCTTAAACCCTAATTCAAACCCTAAGCCCGAAACCCTGAACCCCCCAACCTAAATCAGGTTTTACGGTCAAGGTCTTGGGGTCGAAAACTTTATTGAGGTATTGTTTGCGGAGTTTTGTGTATATAACTATGTAGGAGTTCCTGGTCACATCAAAGTAGAAAGCTCAACATGTCCCAAATATCCTCATAAAGCAATGTAGGGGCCTTGATACTTAGAATAGGGTGTTGGGGTATACATACTATAATTATAAAAGGAAGCCGAAAAAATAGTGTTAATGATTTAGGCCCTTGTATTGGGGTCTTTACACCCAAAAGCCTTACCGGGCCTTACGTACCCGCTCACTTCGTCGACCATGTATCGCATGAGCTCCTGCAAGGGGCTGGCGATGCGACAAATGAAGGATTCAGGGTTTAGGGCTCCGGTTCAATTTTCAGGGTTTAGCCTACTTGGAGGGTCATGGGACTTAGTAAGTAAGGTTCTAACTACCTTAATTGGGGTAATAAGTACTTAAAAGTATAGCTACTTTATTTATAACCCTAGTTACTAAGTCCCATGACCCTCCAAGTAGGGTTTTGAGGTGAGCCACAGAAGGTTCAAGGACATTCACTGCACTGCAACCCTAAACCCTAAACCCTCAAACCTAAAACCCTAAACCGCGAGGGCATCCTGGAGACCTTTTCATTTGGGGCGCTTTTCATCGCGCACAGCTTGTTACTAGGACCGCCCAAAAGCACATAAGCAAAACTTAGGATAGGATTTAGGGTTTAGGGTTTAGGGATATCCCATATAAAACCCCTTATAAGGAAGCCCAATAAGGTAGTGTCCCTATAACATGCCTATGCTTATGTCCTTTTGGGGTTCCTAAGTTACATCGGCTTTAGGCAGTATGGTCTAGACTCCACGGCTTCACATGCACTATGGGCTATTTCGAGGGACTCGAACAACAACACTAAACCCTATACCTTAAAAACTCAAGCAGACATACACCTAGTTACCAAACCCCAAAATCCCAAAACTCTCAACCCTACGTAAATCTAGTTAACAACCTTAAACCCTCCTCCACATCTTTGGGGTTCTCATCACGCTTGTAACCCAAATGGTCGCTCAGTAGGCAAACGGGTTCTGCCTTTGGGACGAAAAGAACCCTAGAAGGGCCTAAGGTTCTTATACCATATACAAATTCATAGCATAAGGGTATCTGGCCCCTACTTTTGGAGATCCCAAGACCGATCAACATCGAGCATAATGTAGGGGCCTCACAAAAAAATAGAAAAGGGTTTTAGGGTATATTATGCCCATAAGAATAATAAGGCACTCCCCCAAAAAAACAGTCCAGGTAATTATCGAAGCCCCTATAGTAAGGTCAAGGAATGCAGCGAAGTGGTGGGTGGAACTCGGCGAACCCGATGGTGATGATTTACTTCCCCAGTACGCCAGGGAAATAGAAGGTTAAACTTTAAGGTCTTATAAGAACCCAAAAAGTTTCAAGGTTGGGTATTGGGGAACTACGGTGATCGTCATCCCGTCGAGGTTTTCGATGTCAAGTGTTGTTATGCAGGTAGCCTTGGGACGCAGAGTTTCGAGTGTGCGATGTGGTTCCAAATTAGATAAGGTTCGGGTCTGGGGTTTTGGCACCCCATAGCAGGCCAAAACAGGCATGTTGCCCGTCATGGAGATTTCAGGAGGGTTCCGTGACGTAGCGTCACAATCCCTGCCGACTGTGTCACCGCTGCGGCCAGCGCTAGGACTTTCAATGCGTATATTGCAAAAGCAATTGGAGCGATACTCGCGGAGAGAGAGAGAGCTGCCGCAGTCAGCTCGGTTGTGCTGACAGGCCAGCGCGTCCCCTAAACCGTAAACCCTCGCAATGAGGTTCTCATAGATGGCTGTGAGATCCACGTTTCAGTAATCGAGCTTTTAGCTCTAAGCAGGTAGGAAGAGCAACCCACTCTACCAGTAACAAAGTTTCAAAAGCAAAACTACACCAGATGTGACTCCCGAACTCTGTGGTAATCTGGTATAGTCGGCACTACCCCCTAAACCCTAAACCCTAAACCCAAAGTCGAGGCCGGGGTTACACCTTGGGGATCACATGAGGGCGTTGCAAGTAGGGGCCCTATACCCTTTCTTATGACTCACTATATGGTATAGGAGCCTAAACCCTAAACCCTAAACCCTATGAGGCTAGCGTCTGGGCTCTAGGGCCAAAGTCAGCGTTTAGGGTTTAGGGTTTAGGGAGCTTCGGGAAATAAGCATGTTTCATACAGGCCTTCGGAATCTTTGCTTCACAAGTTCTGCTTTAGGGATGAACCGTATGCCCTTAGACTTACAGTCCCGGGCCCCAAGAAACCAAGAAGGCTGAATAAGTACAAGTACTACGGTTGATGATATAAATCCCGCACTACCCAATAATACGGAGTATACCATAATTCCCGTAGTTTACGGTCCTTAAGGCAGTGCAGGATTTATATCATCAACCGTATCCCTACTTATGGCTTCTGGTTGTTATAATAAAGGGAGGAGCCCATGCTACTTTTTTCAAGCTCCTCAACCGGAAAACCGCCCGTCCAGGAGCCCATTCCAAGAACCCTTAATGGAACCTATTCTATTATCCGTTAAGGCTGTAGGAGCCAATTCAAAGAACCACTAATGGGTTCTATTCTACTCGTCGTTAAGGCTCCTATATTATAGAACAAGTAATATAGATAGGGTTTTGGGGCCCATAATAAGAACCCTAAACCCTAAACCTAGGTAATGAATGAGGCCCCTATAGTACCCGATGTTCCAACGGTGCCGAACCTTCGTCGGGAGCTTAGCCAGATTGTCCAGGGCCTGCCTAGGATCCAGGATCGCCGTGATAGGGTTGGCCGGGTAGGGTTTAAGGCTTACCTTAAGAAGCCCAGACCTACTTTTTTGTAGGGTCCCTATAAATCCCATATGAGGATTTACAATAAGAACCTACAAGAAAGTGGGGTTTTGGGTTCTTAAGGTAGGGTTTCGGGTTCTGGGGGTCAAGGTTTAGGGTTTTACCTGGACCCCGTAGAAACTACAGGTGTTTGGGGATCCTTACTAATGAGGGACCTTGGTTACGGTATTTGGGAAAGCATATGATTATTAGATACTTGTACCGTTAGGGTACGGGTAGGATAGGACAGGACTCGCAGGGTTTAGGGGTAGGTTAAGGTCAGGGCGTAGGGTAGGGCTTAATTAGGGGGTTTAGGGCTTCGTTAGGTTGCCTTTTGAGCGGAGGGGAGGGAGGAAGGTTTTTAAGTCGTTCCCTGGCCGCTAGGGACAGGGGTTCTGGGTTTAAAGTTGAAATATGACAGATTCTGCCCTACCTTATTAGGGTTTATAATAACAACCTTCAAAACAGTCGGTTATGGTAGCTTAAGGTATAGATGAAACCCGAAAATTTGCACCCTTAGCCGTATTTTTTCGGTGCTTGCCCTGAACCCTTCGGTCGGCTGGGTATCCATGTCAGCGCTAAGGTTCCAGTGGCTGGGGACTCGTGGCTCAGGATTTCAGGGTTTCGGGTTTTAGGCCGTAGGGCTTGATGGTTCAGTGACGAGACGCTACTGGCGGGCTGCAATTCCGCTGGGCTTCATTGGTCGCAGGGAGCACTGGCGAGAGATATATCGCGTTCTGGCATAGAAATCCCAAACCCGACCCGGCTGGAGGTCCTACAGCCGAATTGAAGCTATGAGGCTGCTCCTGTTTTGTTTAGGGTTAAGGGTTTAGGGGTTCGGGTTTCAGGTTTCGGGTTTAGGGTCACAATCAGGGTGAGGAGTTTAGGAGTTTGGGGTTTCGGGTGCTCTCTGAAACTCCCACCTAAGCCCTGTTAACCTATTATAAGCCCTAACACCCTGAAGCAAAAGCAATGCAGAGCCCCTCGACAATTGGCTTCGGACCAGGGGTGACGACTACGAACCAGTTACGAACCCATCACAGCAAAAAACACACCAGCACACCAAAGTCCTTGAGAGATAGAAAAGGTTAGAGGATGGTTGGCGTAGACTGTAGTATGAGTATATCTTAGGGGCTGAGTACCCTAGCCCAAAAAGGTTAACCTTTTGAATCATAGTAGGATTATAAGAGCCCCAAAAGGTTAAAGGTTACCTACTCAGCAGCTAAGATATAAACGCGACTGAGGGGATTCTCTATCATGAATCATTCAGACCTCTACGTGATGGTCATGCGTCAAGTCACTGGATGCGGCTGTACTTGTACCTGGGTCGTCAGAGGTGACAGAAACACCACTTAACCACATACCGTATGTCACATACCCTATTATAAACCCTTACTAAATGCAAGAACGAGCGCAGGGCCTTCAGCGAGACAAAAGTATAACTGGGTGCTGATCCGAACCCCAGCTTATATGTTCACAAACGGAACCTCAGCGTCTTAAAGTAGTGTGCACACAAGGACGAAACGACGCTCAAGAAGAAGAGCTTCCCAAAGCATTCAAGTACCTCTACTATATGCTTAGAGCCCACATTGAGTACCCAGATCTTCCAATATAATATTCATTAATGACAGAACATACCTTTCAAAATGTAGTGGGACCCCCTAAAGAGGTTCAAGGTATCCTCCTTGATTCACGCATTTCGGAAGATCTGGGTACATATACAGAAACCCAGTTGAGGCAAACATATGTTAAACAAACAGAGTACACATTGCTCAGAGGCTCTGCATATACTGTCAATGTGGAACTAAGTCCCTAAAGCCAGAGTAGGGATAGCTTTGGGGGGACCTAATTCCATCATAGTATGGAGCCTCTGGGTTAATACACTTATAGAATCCTTGTACGACTCCGTCAGGACGCTGGTAGCCGTATAAGATCCTGATAGAAGCCCTAAGAAATGTGAACAAGTAGTCCCCAATATTGACTGGGGATCCAAAAACCTACCGTTTTAAGGGTTCTACCCTATAATTAAGGGCTTGGGGTCATAGGTACACCGTAAACCCTAAACCACCCCAAATTCAAACCCTAAACCCTAAACACGAAACTCCCCTAAACCCTAAACCCTAAACCCGAAACCCTAAACCCTAAACCCATAAACAGCCCACTACATCATCCCTGCGCGGTTGGGCTGCTCCTTCATTAGCGGATGGATAAGTGTTCCTTTAAGGGTTGAGGGTTTAGGCTTTAGGGTGTAGGGTTTAGAGTTTAGGGCTTAGGATTTAGAGCTTAGGGTTTAGAGTAGGAAACCCTAAAACACTAAACCCTAAACTCTAAACCGTAGAGTTCGGGTTGCACTTTTCAGCTTGGTTTGGAAGAGGAATGCTGCAGAGCTCTCTCGGGCGAGCATTACCAGAGGTCCGGGGAAGCCTCATAAATAGGTATCCTTAGGGTTCCTGTAAGTTTAGGGTTTAGGGTTCCTTTAAGTTTAGGGTTTAGGGTTCCTTTAAGTTTAGGGCTCAGGGTTTCTTTAAATTTAGGATTTAGGGTTTCTTTAAGTTTAGGCTTTAGGGTTCCTTTAAGTTTAGGGTTTAGGGTTTAGGGCTTAGGGTTTTAGGGTTTCCTCTTCCTGCAGGCGTCGTTTGAGGGTCCTTCAGAGGCGTCATAAGGGTTCATGGTTTGGGGCTTAAGGGTCCATGTGCCCAAATACAAACTACTTTGGCCATAAACTAATCCCTATTCAAGTACTTAGGGGTCTAATCTATACCATTTCGGCACATGGACCTTTAGGGCTGCCCAGAGGCTGAATACCCCAGCCCGGCAAGACTAGCCCCGCAACTGTGGTAGGGTTTTAGTGGTTGCTGCCCCTCAAACCCTAAACCTTTAACGAGTTCTGAAACCCTAAACCCTAAACCCGAAACTCCAACTCTAAACCCTGTAATTGTGGCAGGGTTTATCCGTCGTTACACTAAATGGTAAAAGGTCACCGATGCAGTCCCTGACCAGAGTCATGAATATGAATGGCCTTCAGAGTGGCAATTGGTATCCCTAAGGTTCCTGTTAAGGAACCAAGCAGCAACTTCCTGATAGAATTCTTCCTATAGGGACCCTATATGAGTTAGCACCCCCCGCCATAAAAGCACCAAGCTCAGTGATATAGTTCAGTAAGAGGGGCATCACAATCGCCGCAAAGTTTGGGAAAATCCTCGGCACGACCAAGCGCTGCAAGAGCGAATGCGAGGCTACCGGTAGGGTTTGGGTGTTTTGTTTAGTTTAGACCTTCGGGAATGTCGACGTCAAGCGAAACACAAGTCAGTAATCCTGAAACATTAATTCTGAAGTCTCCATCAAAGTGTTCCCATGTAAATTAATTATTCTGGTTGGTCTTAGGGTTCAGACGCCCAGGCATGCTAGGGACATGAAGAAAGGATCCAGGACTTTTAGTTCACTAGCCTGACGTGATCTGTATACTTCTGATCTGCTCTACTACTACTACTACTACTACTACTACTACTACTACTACTACCACTACCGCCTCTTGTTCTGCTACTACTTTTTCTCGTCTACTGCTGCTGCTGCTACTAAGTAAGCCCCATGATTTTTCTCCTGCAGCTTTAGAAGGCTTGGCTACTCCACCTCTTCCTACTTTTCCTGAACATTTCAATCCTCGTCTAGCTCTCACAGACTCTTTGGCTACAGGCCCGAAACCTCAACTACAGAAAACCTACTTCGCCTGATTCACTCAGATCCCGTACCCAAAGGGGTTCCGGGTTTCCACTCTTTGCTAAACCTACCAAGCCCTTGTAGAACCCGTGAGGCTCCATGTATACTACCACTATGGACTTAGGTCGTAAAGCGGCCATGCTTATTATGGTTGGAGGGAACCTTGGCAACCGAGTGACCCTAAACCCTAAACCTCCCAAAATCCTAAACTCTTAAACCCCTAAACCCCTAAAACCGTACGCTGCTAAACTCCTAAAACCCCAAGCTCTGAAACCCTTTAACCCCTTACACTCTTAGACCCCTAAAGCCCTTACACTCTAAAACCCTTAAAACCGTTGCACTCTTAAAACACCCTGCACGGTTAAACCCCCAGAACCCATACACTCTTAAACCCCTACAACCACTACAATCTTAAACCCCTAGCAAGCCCTAAACTCCTCAAACCCCTAAAAACCTAAACTCTTAAACCCGTAAAACCCCAAAATCTTACACCCCTCAACCCGTAAACTCCTAAAGCCCCTAAAATCCCTAAACCCTTAAAACCCCTGAACCCCCAACAAAAGCCGGGTGGCGACATCATGGCGTTGCTGAGCACGACGCGCTCGCACTCGGGGCGGGGCTCTTTGAGATGGTCGAACCTGACAGAGAGAACCCAATATACCTTACTTACGGAATATACCTTTAATTTAGGGTTTAGGGTTTAGGGTTTAGGGTCTTTAATTAAGGTATATTGGGTTGTCTGGGTGACACGGTTTGGGGGCTCGGAGGGGTTAAGATTTGGGGTTTTAAGGATTAGGCATTTAGGGTTTAGGGGTTTAGATTTGTTGGTTTAGGGTTTGGGGGTTAAGGGTTCAGGGCTTAAGGGTTCGAGGGCTTAGGCTTTAGGATTTGTTGATGTTTATGCCTCTCAAGAGGGCTATCCACGGCTGCATGGAATTTCAAGCCAATCGATAGATAAATACTTCTGTAAATTTGGTAGTGCGTAATTGCAATAGTTTATGTTGTAATCTATCTTGTTTCTAGTCTAGACTCTTGCTGATGGCATGAACCCTAAACCCTAAACCCTAAAACCTAAATCTTAAACCCTAAACCCTAAACCCTAAAACCTGAACCCTAAAACCTAAACCCTAAACCCTAAACCTAAACCCTAAACCCTATGAACTAAACCGTAAACCCTAAACAAGGCTTACGTCGGAGGCTTCGCTGCGACTGTTGTAGGATGGTGAACGATTCGCGAGTAACACCCTTTCAGGGCCCTTTGAAAGGGTCCTCCCCCCGTCCCCCTCCCCCACCTAAGGATCCTTCTCATTTGGAGCTCTGACTTGACCAAGCCCTGCTTGCTGGGTTGTTCCCAACTCTAGACGCGAAACCCTAAACCCTAAACCCTTAATCCAAAATCCTGAACCCGAAACTGCAACCGCTTCAGGCTCTGCTTAAGTTGCTTAGGGTGTATTCTAGGTTTTAGGGTCTATGGGGTTCTATGGCATGATGTAACGTTTATGGTACCAGCATCCCCAGAAATTGCACCCCAAAATACACCCACCAATGTTCTTATGGAGCCCTATAATACACAAAAGTCCTAAACCCTAATAAGAACATCCCTCCAAGTGTTCATCTCACCCTCATCGGCTGTTGAAGGCCCCTAAACCCTAAACCCTAAACCCCCGGTCACCGTGGGCGGTCCAGTCCCCCCAGCTATCGTCGTCGGCGGCCTCCTCCATGTGGGAGTTTCCGAAAATA